GCCCGGGAAAACAGGGGGACCCGGGCGGCCTGGTTGGTAGCCTAGAAAAAAGGTAAATTGTGTGCTAATTTGCTAAATTCTTGTGAAGTCGCGCGAATAAGCATTTCCACCTCCTCTGCTTGATCTTCTAATGTTGATTGTTTTTCTTTGGCGTTTCGCTTTTCTTCAAATTTGTTTTTAATTTTCCCATGCTGTTTGTTGATGGGGCGCTAAACCTCCTACGATGACAGTGGCATTTTAATGATTTCATTTTTATTTATTTAGTTTTTGTGTTTTTTTAGGGTCTCTGTAATAGCGCTCTTGACTGTCTGCAAACTATGTACAAATAAAAAGTTGGATTATCTATAAGACTATAAGACTATAAATTCTATAATAAAAAGGAGTGGCATTATTGCGAGGATCTGGGTCCTTGGCAGGCCTAAGGGGCCTCTTGCTACGGATGTCCCCGCCCTAAGTGAAGGCGGGCCTAACGAATCACTAGAGGCCCTAAGCTGTCAATATCGCATTTAGGGGTCCAGGCAGTTTCGTCGCGCCAGTTGGTTGAAGGGAAACACAGGCCAAGCAGCGTGGAAATTCCCAGGCCTTCTAGGCCTTTCCAAACTGATGCAGGCCGTGGATGAGAATCGCAGGCTCATACACAGACAGTTGGGAGGCCCAACCGAATGAGGCCCAGTAGCTGCAACAGAGGCGCAGCATCCTGGGGCCTACCGGAAGTTTCTGGGCCCAGGCCCAGGCCAGCCAGGCTGCGAAGGCAGGCAGGCTCTTTCCATGTAGGAAAGAGTTCGCTGCCTGGATTCTCATTCAGGCACTTGCTGGCTGGCGGCAGCGCTGTTGGAGCTTTTGCTCGCGTGCTGGCTGCTAGCGCTGGAGCAAGGTGCTGCGCACGTGCAGTCATGTGTGGAAGCAGGGCGCTGCTGAGGGCAGCGCCATAGCCCAGCCTCCATAGCTGGCTGAGGGCTTGGTTGTACAGTGAGGCGCAGGGGTGGTCTTCAGGTGTACAGAAGGAAGACGTGGGTGTAAGAAGAGGGGGGGAGAGAGAGAAGGATGATGATGATGATGATGATGATGATGATGATGTGAGGGCACATACCTGGTATTGGCGATACTCTGCATTGGGCGACATCTTCAAGTACTTCGTGAGCTGCTGACGTCAACAGTTGCATTGTCAATTAGTACGCAGATTGTAGCTGTGTAGGCAGTAGGCTGGGCGCCGAGCGTCAAGTAGGGAGATAGGGCCTGGGCACTCATGTTAGTGGTGGCGAGAGCTAGCTCTCATTGACATTGGTTTTCAACTTTTCAGTGTTACGAATCTTCATTGCACTAGCGGTTAATGGGAGGCCCAAAATTCAGGGTTTTTCGCAGCATCACTACAAACAATGTTGTCGAAACTTTTGCAAACAAACTATCAGATTAAAAAAAAAAACGAGAAAAAACTTCATAAAAGTAAAAATTCGGAGAAGTATGGCAGTTTCGGTGAAAATTTCGCTAAAATTCGCCGAATTTCGGGCCTTCATTGGTGTTATATTGGTGCATTTCTGCTTTCCGGACACTGTGATACTATCTGGCCTTCAATGTGATTGTGTAATCTGGTTATTGTCATCTCGCTTCTGCTCATTTTCCTTGCATTATCTGAATTTAATATTTATCTCATTTCAACTCCTTTTAAAAATGGAATTTGTCCGCTCTCTGCTCCAACCACTTTTTTTTAAGTTTTTTTTCCCAATTACTTTTTGTTGAATTTGTTACAATTGTCTCAATGTACGAGTGGACTCCGTCATGCATGTCCGCAGGCAGGTGTGTTTTGTTAATTAAAAAAAAAAAAGAAAACAGGCATTGAGAGCTAGGAAGATTCTCACGCCCGACCGGTCCTGCCTGGCCGGGCACCTGGGCGTGACGCCCGGGGGGGGTCGGACGCCCGGGCATGCAAATTTTTTTTATTTTTATTTTTTTGGTTTTCTGCGCTCTCCTAGACAACCCCAAATCCCGGCTCATTTCTGTTTTTGCGAATTGCCTGTCAAGGGGGGGGGTGAGAGGGGTATAAATTGGTTTGAAAGGGGCTAAAGGGGTTTAAAAGGGGGTGCCTTAGTTTGATTCTGTTATTTTCTTTGTTATCTCCGATTCTGTGAAGAATTTTAATGTGACCCTCAGCCAAAAGTCGTTTGTATTGCAATTCTACACAACATTTTTTTTTTTCAGAATGTTTTGATTTTTTTGTTTTTTTTTGGCGTTGGGGCTGCCCGGAACCCTGCCCGGGGGTCATGTCCGGCCAGGCACCCGGGCGTGTACCCGGGCATAAGTTGGGTGCCCGGGCGCCCGGAAAACAGCCTAGATCGAGAGAGAATTTGAGACCATTTTTAGGGTCATAGTAGCCGTCATACACAACAACAGGCAGGCGTGTACCTAGCACAACTGTTGTGCTAAATGCATTCTGCAGCCGAGTGTGCTGTATGCAACACACATTTCTAGGGTTTTGATTAATTAACTTAATTTAATAACTTGATTAATTTAGTTATTTTTCCCATTTACGCTTGGTCATGCACGTCCGGAATGTCCGGATGTGCGGCAGTATCTGGATCATCAGTATCTGGATCATCTGGACGCCCAGGTCGAACCGGGTGCATGTCCGCTTTTTTGTCCAGTTGTGTTGGGTGTCGTGGTCCGCGATGAACTCACTTTTTTTGTTTTTTTTTTTTCTGCCGTTCCTCTGTTTGTTGTTTTCCCGATCATTTTCACACTGATTGTGTTTTGGTCATCTCGTTGCATCTGGATTCGTAACTCGGGTCTGATTCGTATTTCAACAGTTCATCGGGTGCTGTACCAACTGAGGGTGCATGCACACTAGCCCGATCTTTTTTTTTTTTTTTTTTTTTTCTGTTTTTTGACAATATGCTCCAATCTATTTGTTGGGAGCAGCACTTGCTGCACACTAGCCCGATCTTAAATGTATCTGACCGCATTCATGGCCGCGCCTGGATGAATCGGACCGCAATTGCGTCCGTAAGTAATAAGTAAAAAAAAAAAACACTCGTAGTGTGAGTTCACCCTGCGCTAGGCTGGCTGGTGTTGCCATGCTTCTTTGCTGCATGTAATGATGCAATGCAGCAATTGTCAATTTTCAATTTTTGTAATTACTTAAGAAAGAAAAGGCCTTTTGGCTAAGATCAAGTGCAATGCATCTGTTCTGATCAGTTTAATACCTGATCCGTGGTCCATCGGGCCATTACGATATTATTTTATTTTTATTTTTATTTTTTTAAAGAAAGGCAAGTCACTCTGGCGAGAGTGGAACATCCTCCTTCCCGATGGTGAAAATTTGACGGAAACGTTCAGACGGCCGAGGTACGTGCGGAAGCGGGAGTGCGGATATTTATTATATTGTGCCCATGTAGATCTAATACTAGATTTATGTTTAAAT